AACTTAATTACAAATCAATTCTGGAGAATACAGAAACACATGCTAACTGATCAACTAGATCATCTATTCTCAAGAGAGGGTATTTATTTTTAATGGTCACATTAATTAACTCTTTGTAATCAATACATAATAGCATTGAACAATCCTTCTTGACAAATAACATTGGTACACTCCAAGGAGATGTATTGTGCCTGATAAAGTATTTTTCAATCAATTTTGCTTATTGACTTTTTAATTCTTGTAAATCTTTAATTGTCATTCTATAAGGTATTTTTATAATTGGATTTGTTCCAGGTTGTATATTAATTGAAAAGTCTATCTCCCTTTCTGGAGGCAAATCATTATATTCCTCAAAGAAAACATCTACAAATTCATTCACTACAGGAATAAAATTTATCTCATCACTAATCACTTTAGTAGCTTCTAACTTCGCTAAGAAATTTAATTCACCAGTTCTTATACTTTTGTTCACCTGATTAGAAATAATTTAAAGATGAAATTACTCATCTATTACACTGAAAATAAAATATCCTTTCTCCAGGTAAAGCAAATCTGACTCTTTTCTTTTAGCATTCAATAGTAGCAAAATATTTGACCAACAAATTCATTCCTAAAATTATTTCAAACTCCACTAAAGGTAAAACTTTTTAAGTCTGAACTGAATTCCCTACCACCTATTATAATTGATGTGAAACCACATGCGGTGAAACATGAATTGCACGTTCGAGATTAATGAGAGTTTAACTTTGCAATGTTAACGATAAAATCTAGCTTACTCAAGTTGGATTCAAGAAACTTCGTGATAGATTATGTTAACGGCAGTGATTTCATTTAAGAATTACAGGCGTCTTGCAAAATATAACCAAAAAAAACTAGATAATGCAAATAGCTACTACTAAAGCCACACGTTTAAAATTTAGATCATTCACCTTGAGGTCCTTTCATTGCTCTCGAAAATATGGGCTAGCGGAGGAGGATTGTAAGTAAACTCAATGATGCCACTAATAGACAAGTAATCCCGAGAGGACTCGTCGCCGGGGGAAGAAACCGGATTTGGAGGAGCGGGTGGGCAGCCGTTAATGATCCAACGGCCATGCATTCTTGCCGGGAGTTGATGGAGCATCCGGGAGAAGAGGGGAGCTTGGTTATGGTGGGATCCACATGGTAGCGTACAGGAATTTGAATTAATTTCAGGGGAGCCGGCGGTAGAACTTGGGGAGGGACGGTTATGGTGGAGTGGCTAGGAGGTCAATTCAGATTATTGCAGGAAATCTGAAATTATTTCAGATTTTGGGTGAATAAGAGGGAATAAATTTGAGAATTCAAATTAATTCCAAAAGGGAAAGGGTGGGGCGGTAACAGGATTAATTAGAGGGGTTAATTAAGTGGGCCCCAGCAGATTTAAGTGGCAGATTTAAGTTAAAATCTGCAGGAAGTCAGCCTCCAATAAAAGGAAATTTCCTTTTATGAGCACTCGTATGAAGCCACCGTTTGAATTTCAATTTGGCTGTGAAATTCCATAATGACAATGGCTGAAATCAAGGCTTTATTTTAGGCAAGTGATCACGCCTCAAAGAAAACAGTGGAATTTCAATTTACAAATATAAGCTAGAGTTAAGTGCTGTAATGGCTGATTGAGAGAAACATTACTCAAGCATTAAAGACTTGATATCCACGGCTTGGGCCACACAGCTTGTAACGGCAGCAAAGCTGCAGGGTAAATTTCGGTAATCTGAAGAAAAAGAAAGTGGATTTCACGGGTGGCTGTGTGCTGGGGTTGAGGAGCGGTGGAGGGAGGGAAGAAGGTTGCACGAGAGGGGTTGGACCCGTGGCCAAGAACCTGGGAAGGCTGGCCGGTGGGAGATTTCAGCCAAAGTGGCCGTCGGCTCTAAGAAAAGCCCTGCTGGGCGGCGGCAACTGCAAGGCTAGTGATCCGACTTCACTCCAATTGAAGTGTGGATGGCGTACTCGTGGATGAGATGTAGATTGAGGAAAACTAATACCCGGAGAACTCACAAAGAGATCTCATGGAAAGAACTCACTAAGAGATCCTTGAACTCACAAAGAGATCACTCAATAGAAATTTCATTTTAATCATCAATCCTCCTCTATTACAAGAGAAGGGCCATATAAATAGGCCTCACAATGACAAAGAAAAATAAAAGACTAAAATGCCCCTTGGGCTACAATAGCTATCAAATACCCATAAGGGCAAAAATGGAAAAACATAAAAATAAAATTAAACTGGTACATAAAATGAAAAATAAAGATCATGATCATGACCGTCGATCTCCAGCATCTCCTGAAGGGACGTGTGTCAAAATCTGATGTCCCCATCAATAATATTAATGAACATGAAGCATTCGCAATTAAATAATCTCCAGCATGTAACCAAATACTCAGACCAAGAGTAGAAATAAGTTTAACATGTAATTTTCACAGAATACCTCAGATATAAAGTAATGAGATGGACCAGAATAAACAAGAACTCTAGCAAGTAAATTTGAAATATTGATAGTATTTGTCATCACTTTTGAAGATTCCTTGGCTTCTTGAAAAGTTAAAGCAAAAGCTCGAGCTGGTGTAGATTTCACCTCTTCTCTTTTTATCTTAAAAACTAATTGGTTCATGGTTTAGCTCTCCTGTATATATATGTGCTCCAAATACCTTTTAATTCTCTGACTCCTAGAATATTTTTAGCACAATTTATTTTGATATGTCATGGCTCCCCACATAGTTAACACTTTCCTGAATTCATTAAACATCTTCCTGGATGAGATTTTCCTGCAGGTTGTTGCTGTTGATACTGATGAAATTTCTGCCTTTTTAATTGATCGCCTCTATGATCAATTATCCTCTTTCTACTATATGCATCCCATTTCTATTTAATCATATCCATATCATGCACCAAAAGTCTAGCACTTTCAACTAATTCAACAAAATCCTTTATGCAAATAGGAATTAGAGGTTGTCTCAATAAATCTTTAAGGCCCTTCAAAAATTTATAACATTTTTCAACTAAAGTACTCATAAGCTGTGGAGTATACCTCGGTAAAAATGTAAACTATACTTCATATTGAATAATAATCTTGGCTCCTTTTTTTAAGTTGACGAAACTCTACTGCCTTGCCTGCCTTGCTGAAGGAGAAACATACAATTGTCCGAAAACTTGCTCAAATTCCTCTCAAGTAATTAGTTTGTCAGCTCTACCATTGAGTTTTTCCAGATGTTGTCCCCTCCATCGTTCTGTCTCACCTTCCAACATAAAAATTGAGAGGATACACGTCTGTCCCTAGGACATTTCATATCATTCAATATTTTCTCAATTATGATTACTCAATCCTAATAGTTCTGGCATATACTCCTTTTAAATAAAGGTGGCTTTAAATTTTGAAAAAAATTTAAATGCTTATTTACATCCACACTAACAAGAGCACCTACCTTTGTATATGCATTGCTACCAAGAATTGTAAGAGTGACTGGTACAGTTGCAGGTTAAACACTAGGTGTTGCAGATCCTACTATAAACAACATTTTTTCCATCATTTGCATCATCATGCTCATCATTTGCATTTTGCATCATAGTTCCTACCATTACATTGGCAGGGTACCACTAGTACTTTGTCTGCTCTGAGTATACTGCCTTCAACTTGTGCAACATTTTCAAGACACTCATGTAACCTATCATGCTGAGATGACTGGTCATTAGTTCCCTTAGATACCCTTTCAGTCATTATATCTGCAATGCATTACTTCGTGAATGATGCATTTATATAATCATGCCCATATATTAATATATTACTTTTATATATTATTTACAACCAAGATCAAAAGTTGGACTTATTACTAACTTAAAAACACAACTCTCTTCTAGGCTCTATAATAATTTCATCAAATCCAATTTCCTTCTCTTAAACAATTTATGCTTCAATAATTAAATCTTGAAAATCTTAATTCTTTTCTTTGATGCCACTTTTGTAACATCCCACAATACCCTACTAGCAATGTCGAATGTAACAAAGAAAACATAACATTCATAATTCTCAACATCTAATATTTTTTATCATTTTCATTATATATATATTCCAACCATAGTATAACACCTGAATAAACGGGAGAGCAACCATTCTCCCTTACCATATAAAAGAAAAAACAAGAAGAGCACCTGAGACATAAAGAGAGGAAAGAAAGAACAATACTTCATTGCTTTGTTCACCAACAAAAACCGGTGCATACATTAATCTATATATAGCGCTGGAAAAACACAGCAAGAAAGGAAATACATCTAAACAGAAAATTATTAATATAATTTGTAAAAAATGTGACTGTCTTTTTGGTAAAACAAGTGGCAGTTAATGGATAAGATATAGAGAAAATCAATTTAGGACACCAATTACAGTAGTTGGACGCCCCCTTGTGTGTAGGAAATCACTACCAATTATGCATTACAATTCAGGAAATAAATACTGCAGCAGAATCAAGTAATTTGCCAAAACAACTTCTGCAGCAAACCGGAAAGGGAAGTGTAGAAATTTATAATCCTTGTAGACAAATAAGACAGCCAAACTAGGGGGAATTTTAAAATCAGCGTAGGGTCAGATTTCAAACATAAACTGTGCTTGGGCAGAACAATAATCAGAAAGGAATCAGCCTATTGATGTTGTAACAGCAGTCTGTATGGTATGAGATGCAATATTCTAATATTAGGCTGTATAAGAACCATGTTGGAACAAACGGAACTTTGATATGGAAAAAGATGTTTGCAAATGTTAGCCTTAATTTACAACTTAAAAGTCACTTGAAACAAGAAAACTGAATAATAATAACTATGCAGCATGAGGAAGACCTAAACAACAATAAACACTGAAAATAATCCAGCTCAATAAACATAGGCAGCACAACTTTCTTGAATGATAATATTTTTTAAACATCACCTGGCGTTATAAGATTAGACAATCAAAACACAACTGTCAAAAACTTCCAATTACTCTAAACCAGACCTGCAAAAATGGCCTCCTCAAGAGAAGCTCGGCAAATATACAACCCGCAGCCCACACGTCCACTCCAGGGCCATATTGCTTGGTGCCAAACAATAATTCAGGAGCTCTATACCAACGAGCAAAAACCTTAAGAAAATATTTCAATCATTATTTAATCATTACAATTTCAGGGGATAACAGCAAATCACAAAGAAATGAAAATGGTTGTTCAAATTAATATTGCCATCCATGCATCTCAACTTTAAAGCAAGAACATAATTGGTCCAAGAATTCAACCAGAAAGATGAAAAGAATTTAAGCGGCAGTTTAAATATTTTCTAAGAAAAGACAAAATGATAGAATGAACAGGTGAAGCCAAAGGTAAACAATAGTTACTATCCTTGAATGAAAAAAAGTTTATTCACCACACAAATAGCTTTCCAAATTACTGCCTCAAATTCCAGATCTATGATTATTGATGTTGATCTTAAACATAAGAAGTAAGAACAACTCCCTTGTTTAGTTCGATCATTCTTAAAAAATATTTAAGTACTCTAGCATCTTAAAATTAATGAGTCATTAATCTCATTATTTAACTATTCATCAAGGAGTTACTTTTGTGTCATTGAAGCATGATCAAATCATCTCAAAATTTCATAAATTGTGGCATCATACCAAAAATTTGTAGGAAAATTCGGGGTGAATTGTCTTAATGTGTAATCGGGTGTTGTATAATTAAAAAATAAGCTAAACAAGACCGAATAGAAACACTTCTCTCCACATCAAAGGATGATAGTCTATAAATATTTTTTTATTATTTAGGATTGTTTTTCTTTATTTTCATCAAAGATTTTCATTTGGACCCTTGGTAGGCTAAGAGACTTTCATATAAACAAGGAAACTTCTTGAATTTAGAGATCTTGGGATGTACAATGAATTAAAGGAATAATTGTGCTTTTCATGTTTATCTATTTGGGGTTCCACCAAACCAATGCCACACCTGCATCAAGTAATATCAAAGACGGGGCTCTCTCAAAATTCCTCATTTCTTTCACATGTTAAATATTTTACTTTCTTGCATGGAAATAGATTGAAAAGTTTTGACATTACAAACCCATCGAGATGGCCTTTTTTTTTCAAATGGGCAACGGTTGGGGCCTCTTTTCATGTAAACAGAAAGTTCTAAGATGACTTTTCACAAATTTGAGTCCTTCTTCCACTCTTGTCATTACATTCAACCAATTTGACTTTTGGAAAGCGTGTGGAAATCAACAAACACATAATATGTTGACATGAAAATATATAATGAAAAATGATATAAAAAAAATAGAATAGCATAAAAATGTCTACTAAAGACGTGATGAACATTACAAAACTAAACTCATAGTAGGCTAAATCATCGCCAAGATGTCATGCATGTATGGAATTTTTAAAAACATGACAAGAGAATATATATATATATAGATGCATGCATAGTTTGTAGACCAATATTTTCTTGATCATTTCGACATTTAAAACTCATTGGGATGGTACTTTTTGGAAAAATTGGGACATTTGAGAGCTCTTTCATATAAACAGGATATTATGAGCCAAATGTTCATGTAATTGCATATGACTCCACTACTGTACTCAAATTCAACCGGAGGCATATGGAGATCAACAAGCACATGGCATTTTGACAATAAAATATGCAATCAAAAATGACATTAAAAAAAAATCATAAATATAATATACAAATAAATACTCAATTACCATCCCAAATTTAAACTTAATAGGCTAAGTCATCACTAAGATGCCATATATGCATGACATTGCTAAAACATGACCAGGGAGAGTAATGATTCACCTTGGACAAAAGCATTCAGAGCTTCATGCATTAGCCCATTGTCCTCTATTTAATCCCCAAAGAGTGAGACCAAGATAGTTTACAGAAGAAAAAAACTATATATAGCTTTTGGATAGATATGTCAATTACACACCTAACTTTAAGTTAATCATGAGTATGCGAAAATGAGATATGAATTTTGGAAGTACAATAGAACTAGAATAAGGTGCAAAACAAATACTCTTATAGAGAGTCGGAGGTGGCCTTTATTAAAGATAAATTGGAAAACAAATTAAGATGACTATGACAAGTAAAACAAAAAGCAAGAAGGCACTTAAAAAGTGTGAGACTGTAATCAATATTAAATGGCTAGGAGAAAACTAGCAAGGCACAAAATCATTCAAAAGGAATAAACAAAATGAGAACCAACAGCAGAAACACCTATTAACAGGATTTAAAAGTAAAAAAAAATTCATAAGACCGAGACCAATAGTTGCAATGACCCTGATGTATTGATGATCATGGTCATACTTTACGTGCAGCTTTGAAGGCTACCAGGATTTTTTTTTCCCCAATGATGACAACAGAGAATTAAATATAATTTCTTCTTTTCTAAAGTATGCATAGAACCTAATAGAAGTGACGAAACAAGCAGCTTAAGAAACCGTGTGTAAATTTAATGTAGGAAATATGCAAATAATGACTGGTGATATGGAAAATAAGATAAGGAAAATAACCAACTAAAGAAACCATGTAAATGTTTAAAGTAGAAAATAAGCAATTAATACCTGATGAGTGAACCTGCGATCTGGACTACCAAATATACGAGCCAAGCCAAAGTCAGCAAGCTTGAGCTGTCCATCCGCAGCAATTAATAAATTATTTGGCTTCATATCTCTGCCAAACAAATTGTTGGGAAGTAATTTATCAAAAATAGATCTGCTAATAATGATATATTGATTATAATAAGAAACAAGGAACAGATAACTAATTACCTGTGTAGGACCCACTTTTTATGGCAGTGTGCTAGCCCTTTCAGTGTCATTTGAAGATATGACTTTATGTCACCAGGAGACAGAACAATATTTCTATCACGAATAACAGCTTCCAAGTCACTCTCCATAAACTCAAATACAAGATGCAAGTTACCCTTGTAAGGAAAAGCATCAATTAACTCAATTATATTTGGATCTTTAAGTTCTTTAAGAAGTTTGATCTCCCTAAGAGCAGTAAAATTTACACCTTCCTTGTGTTTTCCTAACCGAATCCTCTTGATTGCCACTGTTTTTCCAGACTGTACAACGAGAAATACACAAATGCTCAAGATCAATCTGATTCTCGGCAAGGTAAAGTCATATATAAACTACTCCAATCAAACAATTGTAGGATATAAAAAGCCACTAAGCGAAAGAAGAATCATGATAATTCTTTCCACAAAAGTCAATAATTACAAGAATCATTGAAAACAAGCAACAGAAGCAAACAATATAATATACTATATATTCAAAATAACAATAGTTCCAAGGGGGAAAAAAAGGAAAAAGGAAACATTGTAGACTTTCAAATCTATACAATAACAACAACGTGCCTTTATCCCACTACGTGGGGTAGACTACATGAATTCTTTTTCTCCATTGTGTCCTATTAAGAATCAAATCTCATTTAAATCTAACAAATAAAGGTCATTTCTAGTATTTTCTAACCAAGTCTTTTTAGGTCTACATCAATATTTCTTAACATAAGTTAAATCTAATACATCTACTCTCCTAACCATATCATCAAAAGGTCGATGTTTTATGTGACCTTACCATCTAAGTCTACCCTCTCTAATATTATCTACCGCAGGAGCTACTCCAACATTTTCATGTATATGCTTATTTCGTATTTTGTCCACTCATCTACATGAGCATCCTTATCTCTGCAACACTTAACTTATTATTATGCTTCTCTTTTAATGGCCAACTAATTAAATCTTCTAATACAAGTGGTACATACAAAACACATAAGGTTTATGCCCAAGTTCATTACACTCTCCAAGTTGTAAGAATGCAAAACACATAAGGTTTTATGGCTATCTTCATTCACTCAACGTTCCACCAACTAATGCATAGCATCTAACAGGGAATATAAAGTTGATCTATGAACCACCGCATCAAGGAAGCCACATGGAGTGAGCAGTGTAGCATGGATTACGTGTGAGAAAGAAACTAAACAAGCAATTTCACCATTAGAAAAACTAAGCTGCAATTCAAGGAGGAAGACAACTCTTCCTTTAATCCCCTCACTCGCTCTCTCAAGCCTTATGACCCAAGGCACAACAGAAAATCCCTAGGATTTTCATATAAATTCTCTTTATAGGAAGAGATAAATTTTGTGACAATTAATGTGATAATTATTAGGGCATAATGTTGATTTTGGCACCTTACATGATACAGGAATCGTGACTCAATTATGAGAAAGTCGAGAATGTTACAAAAATGAATTGTGAGCACGTGTTGCCAAGTTGTTATCATTAATGTGTGATAAATAATATTGTCCACTTCAAGGTCTCATGTGCCTTCTTGAGATCTTCCTCTCAGAGCTTGGGCATCTCAACGCTCAGCACTCAATCCTCCAGCAACACTCAATCTTCCGGCAATCTCATGATACCCTTTTTTAGTTTACCTCTAGCCTGCATTCTCCTTGGAAGTAATACTCATGGCTCGTGATCCTCTCAACAACAACAGAAAATCTCATAACATGCCCTCTATCCATATAAATTCAAACTGCTTCGACATCAAGCCTACTAATCTACTGATCAAATGTGGAGTCAATTCCATTTAAATGTCTTTGTGTTTCCTTAGGTTCTAAAAGGATTCAAAATTCCTTATAGAGCATGGTGATTGATAAGTTTCAAAATAAGCTTGCTAGTTGGAAAGGCATATTCTTGACAAAAGATGGGAGACTCACTCTTATCAACCATGTTGTGTTTCCTTTTTTTTTTTTGTATTATCTCTCTTTCTTCTAAATTCCTACTTAGTTGATTAAAATTATTAATTTCATATTTTCATTAGAAGGAATTTCTTATGTAAGAGTACTAATGATAGCAAGGGAAAGAACTTGATCGGTTATAAATCTATCAATAGGCCCAAAAAAAAGTTTAATGGCCTTGGCATTATCAATCTTAGGAAAATCAATATTACTCTTCTTTGATGAATTTGAAAAACTATTCAAGTGGACAATCAATCCTTTGCCAGCAATATTATTCAGGTTAAACATGTTAAAGGGAAAAATCTTCCGAAATATTGGTGTAAAATATCTTTCACTTGCTCCCATTTTTTTGTCTTAAGTACACATCGATTTAAATTCATTAAAATAGAACATTCAAAAAAACTTCCACAAACAGGCATATAGCAGCATTGGAAATCATCACCCTAGCTTCAACTAGAGTTTCATATACTCAACTTTCTATCTGAATGTGAGAATATATACAGTTGAATAACCTACTAGACCGTGCAATCTATTAGTTAAAGGAAAAAACTGAAAACCCTAATAATATTAAGACAATAAATAATCCGAAAGTAGAGAGACCGAAAAGAAATAGACCTTAGTGTCGATGGCCTTGAAGACGACACCATACGTGCCTTCGCCGAGTAGCTCCCGCTTGAGATAACGGTCAGCGACGAGCTTCGACTGCGATGAGTCATCTTCAACGGCAGAAAAGCTGCCCGTCATCTTCAACGTCGATGTAGAAGCGACGGCGTGGGCAGATTTCTTTTATTTCTGCACCGTCTCGCCAAGACTTTGGCAAATTATGCTGGAAAATAGCTCTGAGAGATATATATATATTTTTGCAGGGTCTGCGACAACCAGAGGAAGGGATATATCTTCTTGTCCTGTTCTTTGACACTAACTCCGTGCTAAGAGCACCAAGGCCGCTCCTCAGATACATGCGATCTTCTGCTTTGAAATGCTTTGAAGTCCCATAATCCCTTATATATATATGCATAAAATAACTACCTTTATATTATGATTAAGTATTAGGACAAATATTAAATATATTTTTTCCTGAAAAATGTTCAAGTAGAACCTAATAAGTCGTTTCAAGAACTAAATTATTAATTGATTCAATTTTAGATAAAAATAAATGATGGCTCAAAATATAAATATTATGTATAATTAAAAAAATATGTATATGTATTTACAGGTATATGTGAATATTATGTATTTATTTTTTATATAAATAATTCATTCAAACTTTAGTTAACAAGGAACTCGAACTTGTTTGATTCAAATTCGAGTCAATTTTAAATCCAACAAATTCAATTTTAAATAGCTCAAAATCATTTTCATTCAATATATGAGACCATCTCAAACACATTTATTCTATATTAGTTCTAAATCAAATAACATACATAAATATTTATATTAGAAATTCATGTCCAAAGTAAATACTCTTAATTTGACCTATGGTCCAGATGGAGACAAAACCACTCAACCCTCAATAAGATTTGGCCATCCTAACTTGCCGTATTTACATGGCATAGTACAGTCAGTTACACCGTTGTTGGACTCCAGCTACATAACTTGGGCACAAGTCACCCAATCAATAATTTTAAGGCATGACGGTCAGATCGTTTTTTGGACAATATGCACATTTGATAAAACTAAACTATAGTGCAAGCATAAATTTGAAAATATTCATTGTTTAATACATAAGGTCTTATAACTAATAGAACTCCCACCAAGACAATAACATAAGAACTCTCAATAATACATTAATCATGGAGGATCAATATGAACCCACCCAAATGACAAAACAATTATGTTAACCATATGTCAAATCTATCAATATTGGTTATATGAGCTCCCATTAGACTCTTCTCCTTTCTCATGCCCCTATGCAGTTAATCCTTCGCATGTATGTATGTAACAATGTTGTGATATATGCTTTATGGGAAATGAACCATAACATAATATATAGTGTGCAAAAAAAAAAATGGCTTAATATGATTAGTAAGGTATTCAAATAAAGTTATGTTATTATCCATATTATAACATTATATATACAATATAACACTATATTGTGCTATATAACAAAGGTATTATCGTAAGTCTCTAATTTTTCTTTATGATTGATCATTATCATGAAGACTACCCAATCAACTTAGCTATCACATGCAAACAAGTTTTGATGGCATGCCATTTTGTGTCACTACAAACTATCCACAAGCACAGTAACACACAAATCTCTGTCTCGTGAATATACTTATACACTTAGCATATTCATTAATAATAATAACTCAGGGTTCAATCATGACAATATGCATTAGTGTTCACCTCCAAATTTAGTATTTAGTTTAACTCATTCTGACATGGAATGATTTAAGACAATCAGTTAGATTTTTGCGTTTGAATCATTCTGCATGTGTTTGAAAAATTTCTGATGCATGTAAGAGTTTGCACGTGTTATGGAGCAGACTCCACGGGGGTATGTTTGCATGTTTGGAAAATTTGAAATTTTCCCTTGAATTGTCGCCACATTGGGGTTGGAATCTCCGGGTGGAAGTGCTCTTAAGTTTTTGGCAAATTAATTATGCACTTAGGCTAGCTAGCGGCATACTCGATGATGTCATGGATTCCCGAAGGGGCCACCTTGTCAAGCGCCACGAGGGGTCGTAGATCTAGCATAAAAATTTATATTTTAAAAATTCAAATCCACAATTTCAACCCATTTATTTCTCTTAAGGAAAATGTTTAGTGTGTGAGAATGAGAGATAAAGGGAATTTTATAGAGAGAAAGGAGATTAAAAGAGATTATATGGAAGAGTTATTTTCAATATATTGGATGTTGTTAGTAGCTTTGCATGGAAGCTATACATTTATTGAGAGGTTTGATGGAGAAGTATAAAGATAATAAGGAGGATCTACATATAATTTTTATTGAGTTAGAGAAAACATATGATAAAATTTAAATAGATGTGCTATGGTGAGTTCTACATAAGAAATATGTTAATTAATAATGCTTATATTCAAGTCATTAAGGATGTGTATGCATGAGCAATCACTTGTGTTCAAATACAAGGTGGTTTGACCCAGTATTTTCCTGTTTCAGTTGGATTACATCAAGAAACAGCCTTAAGCCCATATATTTTTTCTTTGGTTATGGATGTTCTCACTAGACATTTGCAAGAGGTTGTACCCTCGTATATACTTTTTGTTAATGATATTCTTCTTGTAAATAAGACTAAAGAGGGAGTTGAAGGTAAATTTGAATTATGGTGGCCAACCTTAGAGTCTAAAGGGTTTCGTTTGAATATATCTAAAACTAAATATATAGAGTGTAATTTTAGTAATAATATATCTAGTGTAGGAATTATGACTTTGGCCGATCAAGTCATTAATAAGAGAACATGTTTTTAGATATATTGGATATTTTATTCAGAGTTATGGTGAAATATATGGTGATATTATTAGTAGAATTTAAGTTGGATGGTTGGAGTGGAGGAATGCACTAGGCTTGTTATATGATAGAAAAATCCATCTCAAATTCAAGAAAAAATTCTATAAGATGATAGTGAGACATGCAATGCTTTATGGTGCAAAATGTTGGCCATTAAAAGATAAGCATAATATTAAGTTAAGCATTGCAGAAATGAGGATGCTCAGGTGGATGAGCGGCTTTACTCTTAAAGATAGGATACAAAATGAGCATATATGTGAAATGTTGGAGTAGCTTCAGTGGAAGATAAGATTAGAAAAAGTCGTCTAAGATGGTTTGGTCACATAAAACGATAGCCTTCTGATGACCTAGTTAGGAAAGTAGATGTATTATATTTGACTTATGTTAAGAAATGTATAGGTAAACCTAAAAAGATGTGGTTATAAAATATTAGAAATGTCCTTTTTTATTAGAATTATATTATAATTTGCCTCTTAACAGGACACGATGGAGAAAAATGATTCATGTAGCCGACCCCACACAGTGGGATTGTGGGATAAAGGCTTGTTGTTGCTGTTGGATATTGTTAGTAGCTTTGTGCTTTGTTATTTGTTTTAAAGTCTAGATTATATTTTTTTTTTAAGTTTACAAAACTTATACTTTAGGGTTTTCCTATTGCAAGACAACACGATAAAACATGTCTAGTTGGTGGGTCGTATTGGGTTGGGTTGTAATAAGCCTTTTTTGTATGGCATTTTTTGTTTTGGAAACTAATTATAAAATAGAGTTGGAAAAATGGATATGTGAATCTTGTGAGGTGGTTTTGGGTATGCATATATTTGTGGCAAATGGGCAGTACCAATATATAGTACTACTTTGACAGTCAGTTCTAATACAGTTTCATAATTTGCTAAACTAGTTGATGGGTGAGGCATAGTACAAAGTTACTTATGTCTGATATGATGATGTAGATTGTCATATATATATAATTATGAGATTGAAGCCTCTAATAGCATTGTTAAGCCTAAATAAGTAAATGATTAGTTGAAATTATTAAATAAAATATTTGTTGGTATGCAGTGTTTTCCTAAGAGGAAGGTACCATTATATTTTTCTGTTATATAGAACACTACGGGAAAAACGTCAAAAACCGGTGGTTTTTTCTGGCGGCATATATTGTGAAACAGGCGGTTTTCAAATATACCGGCGGCTTATCGGCGGTGAATTTCCGGCGTTTTGATTACACGGCGACTTTCCGGCGGCTATAATCGCCGGTGACTTCCAGATTTTGTACTGGCGGTGTTCCGGCCGTTACGCCGTCGGTTATTTTACCGACGGCTAACCGACGGTCACTGTACAGACGGCATGCTGGAGGTTACAGCGACCGTCGTGCGTTCGAATAACCGTCGGTCAAGCATCGGTTCACCGCCGGTAACATTGCCGGCGGTTACCCGGTGGTCATAGCTGACGGTATTACCGACGGTATGCATCACCGGGCTTTCACCAGATAACCGCCGCCGGTATATTATTGACGGTTTAAGAAAATTATCGGCAGTGTAAATTAGCCATCCGATATCGTAGTTTCCGGTGGCCAAACCGTCGGTTAGCCGCCGGAAACCTGTAGCACCTGAAAAAAAAATTGACAGCATTCCCTCTATTTGAGGGAGGTTCACCCTAAATTCTAAACCTGCATAAATAGTAATACATAATAAGATGTTTTGGGCAACACGCCGCTATATTCATCACAATTACATACATAACCACAAATTAAACAAACAAGTTTACAATCAAACATTAAAAAGTTCTAAATAAGTTCATCAAACATAAAACAAGTTCACCAAGTTCTAAATTCAATAAGGTTACAATCACAATTTCTAAATACAATCATCAAACATAAAAAAGATCTAATCCTCAGCTGTATCCTCACTGTCTGGAGATGGCTGCTCCTCTTGCTCCTTCCTTTGATTTTCAACTTTGTAGGATTACAGCTATGCTTGAATTTCATTTTGAACCTTTCTCATTCTTCAATCTCTATAATCAGCACTGCAACCCTCTCGCTTACAGATTCTTCAGCTCCACTTGGATCATGAAATGCAGAGGTGTATGAACTAGCCTCAATAGCATAAGCCTGTGAACCCATGCCATGTACCCTCCCCCTTTGTCTTCCACCAACAACATCTGACCATGTTTGATACTTAGAAATGTGGGTCGATCCTGAAGATGATCCCTCGCTAGTGGACTGCCGACTTTCTCGAGCTCGTACAAAATCATCCTGCGAGAATAAATCCATAAAATATATTGATATTACAATTAGTTTTATTAAATAATTTTTTATTCTAAAACTCCAAAAAAAATTTACTCACATGAGCGTTCTTAGCCTTCTCATCAACCCACTGATGGTCAGCTTGATGTTGATGAGTTATTGTGTGCAACTCCATTGGTGTTGGCTCCCGACCAAGGTGCTCTTTCTGAAAATTTGATGCTTAGTTATAATAATATAAATATATTTAATAAACTAGTTCAAAACACTTACCAATCGCCGCCTATGTT